GAGCTGTATCTCGACCGCGTTATTTATTCCGCATCGGTTCAGCCTCCTCCAGCATCCAGCCGTCGTTCCATGTCGGTCACTTTTCACTAGCTTTACTTCACTTTATTGCACTGCACTCACGACCGCCATCGTTTTAACGACTTAACGATTTAACGAGATTTAACGATTTACTGATTTAACGATTTAGTGGCGTATTTTAACGCCTCAAAATAATATACTCGCGACTTACGTATCGCGTGGAAAAAAATCGAGAATCGAACATCATGGCGCTGTTAACACGGTTGAGAGAGAAAAAGAAAATATTTCACGTTTGTCCATACTCTCGATTCTATCTTCGACTTTTAATTTTGGAATGGAGTGACAGAACTCGTTACGCGTGAAATATTCAGAAAATTGGCAATTTTTACGATTGCAAAATGTCTCGCGAGCAAAGTAATCGCAAATTCCGCGTATGGCGCAATTTGAGAGCACCATTGGGGGCGCAATTTCGGCGTGCAATTTCGAAGTGCAATTTTGGTGCGCAAGTTTGATGCGCAATTCTGGCATACAAGTCTGATGCGCAATTTGGACACGCAATTTTGGCGCGCAAGTTTGATGCGCAATTTAGGCGCGCATTTGTGGCGCGTTTTTCTGATGCACATGTTACACCGTTTAGAACAATTTAGGGATCACATTAAAAATCTGAAAAGGAGATATTATGAATTGCTACTTTTAAAAGAGAAGTACCTCGATGTCTCAAATGTCTGTTAAGTCAGACGGTTACTTAAGGAAACGGTCCTTTAATTGTTCCGAGCAGTGTATCTCAATAGACAGTACAGGCACACGTATGTCAAACCCTACGCTGAGAGAAAAGTATTTGATATTTATCAGAATAATCGTACAGTGAAATAATTATGGTTAGGGAACCTTTTCTTGTAGTAAGTAAACTTTACTAGCATTTCTTCGTTGTAACAATAAATAATTGCTGCCAAAAGTGGCTGCAATTTACAATAAAATGAATCATTTTTTCTCTCAGTGTATATGCAAGTATACATGTAAAGGTACTACAAGCTAAGTAAATCGCATTGATCTTTTGTGTATACAACAATCAAAAATAGATCCGCCACCTAAAAACTTCGCTTCTGACTCACCAACTACCGGGGTCAAGATCGACATTCCACTACAGTTCTGAAACAAAACACATCGCAGTCGATTAGAGATACAAGTCTCGATGGCTTAACGAAGGAAATACGCGTAGACATGAATATATTAACTACTTGCGATCGTAGCGAGTGATTTTTACTTGGACAACCATGTCCTAGTTTTCGAGCGGAAGCGGTTTAATGCACGAGTATGGGAAGTTCGCAAACCTACCTTCGAGCCGATCTTGCTCGGCCCGAGCCGGATCCTCCGGTACAGCATTTGCATAAGCCAAAATTGCATCTCCCGGGAATCGCATTGACCGTGTGACCATAAGCTCCGCCAGTTCTGAAACAGAACACAAGTTGTCTAATTAATTGCACCGATAAATATATTTAGGACGTAGAGATTCAATATAGCGTATTTCTTTTTAAACGAAAATATAAAAATAAAAGATAATGGTTGTCCTCGAGGATGCCGTCACTATTCAAAAATATCTTAGCGTGATAATGACGCGAAACAATGTAAGGTGACTCACGCACGCACTTCGATCGACTTCGCGCGACGCTCCCAACCGTGTACTTCGCGTCGAAATTTCTCATGATTGTTTGTATACACTTGCGTGTATACGTATATTATTATTGCCGAGACACTGTGTTAGCTCCAACTGGCGAGAACGCACCGGCCGTTTATTCGTTAATTTAATTAGGATACCGACGGAAACGAGATACCGTTAATTTAATTCGGTGGAATTCTTCCATTTGGGCATTCAGTCGATAGAAATGTATATACATGATGGTATGCTATACGACGCAGGAATCGAGTTAGAATAGATTCGCGGATCCTATATATAGGTTAGCAGACCCAAAGGTATTTCCTTCCTTCCTTCCTTCCTTCCTTCTTCCCTTTGCATTATCAAATATTATTCAAAGCAAAATCCCGCGTGTAATTTTGACGTCCTACGCTATTATCTGTTGTATTATCAGAATTTTGCGTGTAGATATAAGTAAATATGCTCAGTGAAATTTTCACGAAAAATGATAGGTAGAGTTACGTATATGGAATATTTTTATATTAGAAGAAGTTATATCCTTTTAAAGACTATAATTTTTTGGATCGTGCATAATATGCAATTCTATTTTCTCCTCGACGTGGAAGTTAAAATGATAGAAAACTGTGTCTTCGTCATTATCAATATATTTACGTTATGCTCCATGTAGATCCATTTTCCTCAATTCTCATTTTACGTCTCTTGTGACGTTTACACCAGAGAACCATTTATAACTAATCTCGCGATTCTGTGGAGCGAATATATTAACACATACCTGTATACATCGCGGTGGGATCCGGGAGTAAATGCCGTGAATGTATTCATCCCGTTCTTGTGTAATTTCCGCACGTCATGAAATCGGAGTGCACCGTGCGCATACGACCGTGGAAACGCAAATCGTATTATCGAATCATCGTTACTTTTCACAATGTGCTCCGATCGGTAACGCGACTAACTCTTGTTGGTTACATTAGTTAACTTTATATTCACTGTATCCTTGCGGTATACATATCTACTGTGGTAGAAAATTGTATCGTGTAAACGGAAAGTAAAAAGATGAAGTGAAAATTCAACGAACGTAAATAGAGAAGCTATCGTCCGTGCCTCTTTAAAAGAATTTCAAAACAACTCGGTTTGTTGTTTACACGAGACATATCATATCGTAATATAGTATATATAAGTATATATAGTATATATAGTATATATATAGTATATATAAGACAGATACCTAGATAATATACGATATTGTACAGATATCCTCTGGATATCTGCATCTGGATATCTATAGTTATCTCTGGATATCTGGATTTTCTTAAAACGTTCTTTAGAATGTTGTCTGAATGTCATTAGAATGTCCCTGAAAAATTTGTGCTATTGGGGTATATGTGATAAGTTGTTGAGTACAATGTTACACATTGTACTTAAGAAGGCTAAATAGCGAATGGGATAAGATAAAAGTACCAATACCTGAACACATATCTAATTCTGGACATTTTTGTTGTTTCAATCTTTAGTTACGAATACTTAAACTTTTAAAACGTACAATATATATATATATATATATATATATATATATATATATATATATATATGTTCAATCAAAGTGTTCATCGTATATATATGTTCAATCAAGGTGTTCATCGTAACAGTATCCGCTATTTTTTACTAGTTACAATGATCGAGGACAAAGTTCTATATGTAATTAATTAGTATCTAAACGCGCGGCAATAAGGCGCTATAACAAAAATTTCGTTCTTTTTCGTGAAAAAGTCAAAAGTCAAGGTTGTTTTTATTTTTTTAAATAGAACTATATCTTTTTATCTGTAGTATTTTAAAAAGATAAAAATAAATTCAACACGTAACGTCACCTTTACTAACATTTAACAGTGAAAATGCAGGCAGATGATACGATAATGTTTGAAATACAACGTAACAAATAACGTTAGAAGCTCACAGGACATGTCCGAAATGTAATGCACTTGTCGCGCAACATAAAGCTCTGCCCTTTGTAATAAAGTTTCGTATGTCGCATTAATTAAAATATTTCGATTTATACTTCTGTATACTTGTGTTGTATATTGTCCAAATTCTTCGTTATCATTTTACTGTGCCCTGTTTTGCTATAAAATAGCAATAAAGATAACATTATGAGTTTCTGATGCTCTTTACGAGTAAAAAATTACGCGGTCCCATTTAAAAAAGTAACGGTAATCTTGATTTTTTTTTTAAAAAGAATGTTTCCAAAATGTTTATTGGTGCATTTTATTTACGTTGTATCTGGGACATTTTTTTGCTCGATCATTGTAATTAGTAAAAATATAGAGTGGATATCGTTACAGTAAACGCACACATCCTGTACATGTATATATATTTTTATGTATGTATATTTATGTTATGTTATGTATGTATATATATTTTAAGTTGAAAGTCTAAATAAAGTCTATTCGTATTTAAAAACAACAGTAATACGCGCGAGAAAAAAATATTAAAGAAACCAAAAATATTTATTCGATAGATATTTCTAACATATTTACACTTACATTTATGTTCCTTCATTTAAATAGCATAAACAATTTTTTAATGAAAAGCTAGTTTAAAAGCTTTTTAGTTTTAACTAGCTAGTTACTAATTAATTAATTTGTTAATTAATTAATTAATTAATTAATTAATTAAACTAGTTAGTTAATGTACATTTTATTACTTTTAATTTTTCAGTTTCTGTCAATACGAAAATATGTAGTAATATATATATATTATATAATACTAATATATATAAATATATATATTAGTAATATATGTAGTAATATATTAGTATAAATAAATATGTTATTAGCATACACATCCTAATAAATATTTTTTACTTTTTTAGATATTTTTTCTCTCAATGTAAGAATGTCCAGAGTTAGTCACGTGTCCAGGCATTAGTACTTTTACCTCAGTTTGCGCAGCTATATTCCACAAACGTGGATTCCACAAAGCTAACGTTGGTAGGCGGACGAAGGGAGGAATCCTCGCGCTGTCTCGGGCGAACTGTCCGACCAGACGCGAGCTACTCCACTGCGCCGAGGAAAGAGTGCGCGATTGCGTGCGGACGCTCTAATTTCGCGTGGTTACAATTACGCGGGAATGTTTCACAGGCCGATTGTCCTCTAAATACATTATACGTTACTACTTGTTCATAGTCTATACTTGTTCCACGGTCCGTGTAGACGCGGTCGATACCTTCGCCGGCTCGATGGGCGGAATATTTTTTCTCCAACCTTATCAAAAGATTCTTCTACCTTACTCTTTGAACTTTGATATCATGCAACGCATTCCGTTTTTGTTTCAGAAATAGTGGAGGGGGTCAGAAGAGGCGGCGGTTCGCCCCTCAGGCCTGTAATCGATGAAGCGACCGTGGTGGAGGAAGAGGTAAATAGCTCATATTCGAACAGTCAAATATATCTGACGCGTCATCATCAAATGCTCGCATTTGCATTTGCGTTAGCCGTTTTTCCAATCAGAGCAAACTTTCAGCGTAAAATAAAGTGGGTCGATTTCGGCCTAAAAAGTCTAACGTAAGTTATACACGTTTTTTTGGTTGATAATGGCATTTTTATTCATCTTTTATTCATGAGGAAGTAATCAATATTCGTCTTCAAAGGATCGAAATAAAATACTTTTAACAGTAGTTCGGCTAATGCCGATCTTATATTACAATTATTTAATTACCTGTATTATATAGTTTAGGCTTTGTGACTATTTTTCACTGAAAACCAAGAAAATATTTCAAAATGCATTACTTTAGAAATACTAAATTTCCTTATAAGAAGTATTAAGTCCACTATTAGTCATTTTAACACCCTTGAAATTGACCAATGTTTGCAAGTATATATTTTATGTCTAGTGTCTGGATGGTGTTCTGGATGTGTCCGGATGCTGTTTCGGATATATCTGAACTTGAAATTCTTTGAGTAGGAAAATTGACAATCTCTTTTTTTATTTTTATGTCATATTGATTTTGCTATGTTAGATTTGGCGTTTCCTTTATTTTCAGTGAAAAAATTATGAAACCGAACTATAATACGAGTAATGAAATAATTAAAAAGAAAGTGTCACTGACCTGAATTACTATTAAAAGTTTTAATCTCTGTAAAGTGAATTTTGACCATTTTCTTCATAGATTTAAACGGATGAAATATTTACAACGACCCGAAAAACATAGAATTACATGTGTAACTTAGATTTTTTAGTCTAAGTTACATGTTAAATTCGGCCCACATTATCCATCGACCTTCTCCAGTTAATCAATGTGATCTTTTCTCGCAGGTGGCCACTCTAATGAGACGATGCTGGGCGCAAGACTCCGCGGACAGACCGGATTTTCCCGCGCTGAAGCAGACCATCCGTAAACTTAATAAGTAAGTAATTTCTTTCTGCAAATTACGTTGCCTAGCTCCTCTCTTGCGGCACGGCCATAATTCCCGCGATTCACGCTGGCTCGCGCGCGTTTTTAATTACGATCGAGCTGACGTCGAAACGCCGGCAACGTCACGTACGAACGCCGCTTAATTCAACGGTGGGTCCAGAGCGGGGTTTCGAGCAAATTTTAACGATCCGCTTTCTCTCTCTTCGCCCTGCTCTCTCCTCTCTTTCCCTCTCATTAGGTTAAAAGCTCCGAGCGTCCAAGCGCGAGTGTGGGTCTCAGCAGCGGGTCTCGAAGGCGCGATAGAAAGCAACAAAAAAGCGCGCATATCGTCTTTTAGAGCGCCGATAAAGCTTGAGCGGCGGGTGAAACGATCGCGAGCGCGGCGCCGTAAAACTCGGAGTAACGTTCGAACTATCAGGAGAATGCATTAACCGCGACGTGTCGAGGTACTGTCGTCCGTATGACGTTACTTCCGTCTCAGCGCTCGCGCATTAGTTTGGATTCCCGTCGGATTTACGTAAAAGCGCCGCGACGGGGCGATGACGATCTTTTCCGCTTTACGTCGGCTACTGCCCTCCTACGTTGTCGTGTGCAATTATGTGAGAGCATTTAAGTAGTTCCCGGGTGTATATGAGCGCGTCATATCCGCGCGCGAGGAGACACGCGATTCAGGTCGAACGAATCGAGCGGAGCCTGACTGCGACGACCTCCGCACACGGCGATATCGCGTATACGGCACGACAACGTTATACGTATTCAGCGCGGCAAATTGTAGAGGCCATTGTGCCGACATAAAGCTCGCCGAGAGCGGAGCTCAGCGACAAGTGCAGCGTCCGCACACCGCGATATCTCCGCGAGTAATTCTTTTTCCACTCGTCGCGCGGAGGGACGGGCGGCGCTCGGCCGCTCTTCGTCCCGGATATTGGCATAGCTCTCGACCTTCCGGCCGCGCTGTGCAACGTCTCGTACCCGGAGGAATCCAAAGGGCGCCCGCTCACCATAGACGCGCGGTGATAATACAGTAAGTCGGTAACTTGGTGCGCGCGCGCGCGTCTGAGAGTGCCTTCCAGTCGTTTCTCTTCGCCGTTGGGCACGGTAAACCGAGAAATAGGTGCTGTAGAAGCCACCAGGGCGGTCAGGAGAGCCGAGGGAGAAAGAGCCGAAACAGCCATGTCGCCGGCCGGCGATCGATCATCGAGAATTCGAAGAGCGCTCTCTCTCTCTCTCTCTCTCTCTTTCTCTTTTGCTCTTTTCCTGGCTAGTATTTGGATAGGACTTGGATGGAAGTGGAATTCACTTCTGTTTTAATTTATTTTTCTAATTTGTTTGCTTTCGCTTTACGTTGATTGATATTTATGCTTTAGCTTGCAATTATCACTTTCGTTAGGATTAACTTCATGTACTGGGATGGCCATATAAATTGGCTACTATTGGCTATATAGGTCTAATTATTGTATAGATACTTTAAGAGATACTTTAAGAAACTTTCATCCCAGGATTTGAAATATATGTATCTACTTATCTATCTAGCTATCTCCCCCTTCTCGGAGAAAATTGCCCTCGTTCACGTGACGCCGCTGGCCTCTCTTCCCGCGAATTTATATACAAACTGCGCGACTGAACGACCCGCGAGATCATCTTTTCCACAAGAGATATGTGAGAGTCGAGCGCATCATTTCCTGGCGGAGATGGGCGGCTTTAAGTTCCCGATCGTTGTCTGCCGACCCGAGAGACTTCCCGAGATTCTTCTCGCGCGGTTACAAGAATAGAACACGGCAGAATAAGAGAGATTGTTGCATAATTTTATAGGCATAATTTTCCGCATGTAGTTTCGCCGCGTGATGGAAACGACACGGCGCAACCGAGGTGTCGAGCGAGGACTTTGCGATCGACTGGAATGGCAATCGATCGTTCGATATCTTCCGCGGGCGGTTGTTTCGACCGGCGCGTCGTTGTCGAGCTTGATCGAGAGGCACCCGATCTCATTTAACTCTGACGTGGCTTTATCGTCACGGCACTCTCGACAATTTTTATTTTCACCTCGACTAGGATAGCGCGTTGGATCGTTGGTCGCGTTGGATGGTCCTGATGGTATCCCATGTTCCGTCATGAATCGATGTACGTTATCAAATATTCCCGGCGTACCGTTCGACATGAATTCGCCATAGTTACGCGAGAATGATCCAACCCACAAAATTACGATCTTTGAGTTTTTGACAACAGATGGTCCATACAGCTTTCTACATAAAACAAAAAGAATTCAAACTTTATGGATGTTTAAAATTAATTAGGAAACAGCTTTTGTACTAGCTTTTTCTACTAGTTCCAATTTTTTTACTAATCTTTTTAAGAATTAAGTTTGTCAATGATTACTTTTAAAGAGAAGAAAATTTGCCAGGCTTGACTTCTTGAACGATTGCGAAAAGAACCTTAATATTATCTACATTTTTAAATCATATAATAAATTTTCATCTTTATTTTTCTCGAAACGTATGTGAGTTGGGTTATTCTTGCACAACTACGGCCAATTTTTCATTCGCTATAAATCCGCTACGTTATTTATCTTGGATTCCTTCAATTATATTTGACACAAATGGAAAGAATTGCTTGCATTAATGATATTATAAATCGTGTCTTATATTAAAAAAATCGAAAATTCTATATACTTTTCGTAAGCACCCACCTTTTTCATCGAGACGACTTAACTATCGGTATACCATCTAATTTCAATTTTAGTTTTTGAATTTCTTGTTTGAGCAGTTCTAACTTCTTGTAAACATTCATATTTGGTCATTTCTATACTTTATTAAAAGTCTTTATTAAAAGAATAAAGAGAAAATTTACAATTATGTTTTAAAGATTTCTGGCCGTTTGCCGCGGAGTTCTTGACGACGCCAGAAGCGGAAAAACGCACGCTCAAAATTCTTATGTGCCATTTTCAAATAAAAAGGTATCTGTGTGAAGGAACACTTCAGATCGCTTGAGCATACTTGTGAAATGTTCCGAAAACTATCCTTTTTCTTCCACAGAGTCAACAAATAGTCGTAAAATTAACGAGACATGCAATCTTCCTCTTTAACTTACCTTTCCTTATGATTTTGTCGCGTTAACTTGACGGCTACTTATTGAATTATTATTCAAGGGAAAAGGATAGTTTGCATTTCCCAAGTACGCTCAATCGATGCGAAAGTGTCATTCCATTTAAATATCATTTCATTTCACAAAATGGCACGCAAGAATTTTCAGCGTGTCATTTCTCGCCTCTGATATAACGATCTAACGCGACCATGACGAATGTCCAGGAAGCTTGATAGTATGAGTTAATCCCGTAATTTAATTAATATTACAATGGTATACTGCGCGTTAATGCCGCCTAGTATGAGGGAGCAGTAGTGTGATATTGAATGAATAGTGTAGTAATGATCAGTAGTGTGAATGAATTTCAAATGAAATCTTATTCACTCCATCGACGCATTCTTCCGCGCACGACACGCGGGTGGAACATTAAGTAATGATTCAGAAATATTTGCGCGCTGCAGAGCGCAGAAAGCGCGAGGTAGAAACGCGCGTCCAAAGAGCTCTTCCGGCAATGGGGAAACGCTTTTACGCCCTTTTGAATGAATATTTGAGAAGTCAGTTATCTCTAACGAAGCAAAGCGTCGCGTACTTCGCAACAGTTGATAAAGTTTCGCGAGGACAGAGCGCGAGCGTGGCAACAAATTGATGGATGATGACAGAATCAGACGGCGGAATGAGAGAAATACGCCGGCAATGCACGCGACATCCGCACAGATTCGTCAACGCGGAGATACCGGAGCATTTTGTCCCTCGTTACTCTTTCTTTTTCCACTTTTGTATTTATCGCCCGCGGGAGAGTTATCGTTTCGCCATTCGCGCGTTTCCGCGCAGAAAAGTTTTCTATCACATTCGTTCACCTCGTTTCGCGAGAATTTCCATTTCGCGACGGTTTCGCGCTAATACTCGGCAGCCGTGAAGCCGAATGCAGCGCGCATTCGATTGAAATACGCCACGTATACGAATGGACACCGGTGTAAAGGCGATCGGATATGCATATAGTGCACGGAAGGCATTGAACGGCCACGCGGTATTCACTGCTGCGCAGCGAGCGGTGTGATTGGCAGCGGCAGATTAAAGCGGCAGATAGCGCCGTCGCGCGATTCTCCCTCTCATCAGGATGCCGGAGACTGAATTTGCCGACGATAATCGCGACATCGTCGTTCGTACGAATTTTTACCGGTGGCTGCTTCCCGAGGTCTCCACGTTGCGTTGAGGCAAAGTTACCGGTGTATCTTCTCATTCGTTGAATCGAGGTCAGAGAGAAATTCACCGTTACCAAATATAAAGATCTCGGCAAGGAGACGTTTGGAGGGTCCTTTGATCGGCGCATCGGAAATTATTGGAGCTGGATGAAGAGACAAGAGCGAGTCCCGCGCGACAGCACGCCGACTCGATATAACATCCCGTGGATATCTCTAGCTCGCTTTTGATTTCGTTCGCGCGAGTTATTAAATTATCGATGCGACCGATATAAGCAGAGATAAACGAGAAGGGATGGCGCGGGATGGAGGAGGCTCCCGTAATTCCCGAAAAAAAAGATAAGGTAGAAATGAAGATTGGTGCGGTGGGAGGGCCGGTAAAAGATAGATAAACCGAGGGGTGAGAAGCCGAAAGAGAAATTGCGGTTAAAGGAAGAAGCGAGGAGGGTAAAAGTGGGAGGAAGCTCGCGAGAAGAAACGAGCATCATCGATCACGTACCTGGACGGAATTTCTATCGTGCTCGTTATGCGCTTCATTTGAAACAGTGCAAAGTGCAAGAACTCAGTCGTGCTCGCGTGAAGGTGTGCAGGCTGCTCGCGACAACGACTTTTGCGTCTCTACATCAAGTTATTTGATATTCCAACTAGAAAGAGCGCGTAGTACTTTAACAGTCTCGTAGATTTCATTTATATCCCGTGTCCTTAAGAAATTCAG